GTTGGGTTTGCCTATGGCAGTATATAGTACGGTATAGACGCGTGTGATGTAAGAGAATAAAGTTTAGATGGAAGCATATTATATAATTTTTTACAACGTAGAAATTTTTTTATGTATTACTTACTGTTAGTAACTCAGCTTATTGTAGAGTATAGTAAGTATACTGATGATTCTATGTAGTTTATACTTTAGTTTGTTATGCAGTTTATACTTTAGTTTTTTACGTGGTTGTTTAGTAACTGCAGCTACATACTATTAACATTCCTTTCCTTTGTTAATGCTACCCCCTCCCCCCCCCCCTTTGATGCTGCTAATCCTGCATAATGCACGGGCATAGTATTGATTTGGAACCCCCCCCCCCGCCCACCTCCTACGCATTTTCCATATGCTGAATTCCTCTTGATATGCAAATTATTTTGTTTAGGCGCTCTTCTTCCCACCTCGCCCCCTCTAACCCAGCTTAAATATACGCTCCAAGCTTGGTGGTGTTTCATTCTTCGCCTGAGGACGGCTGCTTGCGTTGTGGCCGAAACGTCGTGAGAATTGTTTTATTATGTTTTATTTTTATTATTTTATTACTTCCCTTCTACGTGACTTTACCGAAAGAACCAAGAAGATGAATCCCTGCAGTCACGAAAGCTTTAAATCGAAACAATGACATTGGAGATGACAATGGTGGTGATGATAACAATGATGATGGAGATGACAATGGTGATGAAGATGATAACAATGACGCTGGAGTTGACAATGGTGGTGACGACGTCGGGGCGAGGGCCTCACCGTTGGGACACCGCCGGTGGCACCCCTCGAGGCAGCTGAAGGGGCAGTCCCTGATGGGCGGCGACTGGCACGACACGGGGCACGCGGGTCCACACGCGTCGTAGTGCCACTCGCACGCACCGTCACCGTCACCATCACCGTCGTCGTTGCCGTCGCCACCGTGCGGCTTGGAGTCCTCGTCGCATGACACGGCTGTGACGCAAACACGGCGGCACGACCGCACGTCACGACAGCGCCCGGTGCAACGAACCCGGCCACGCGAGTTCGATTCCCGCTCACGGCCATAAACACCGGTGACGATTATCTGAACCGGTACCTGGGCCTCCCCTAGGTCGACTCGGCCTCAAATTAGTACCTGGTGAGATCTGGAAACATCGCCACTGGGGAGACAAAGGCGGCCGGGCGTGGTGTTGGTCACCCACCCCTCTTGTGCCATACCGGCCTTCATGGTGCTCGCTAACAGCACTTGCCCCTATAGTCTGTTAAGGTTATACGGGGGAACTTTGTATTTGTGGGTGTGTTGGTGTATATAGGTGTGTGGGTGTGTGTGCGTGTATGTGGGGGAGTGTGTGTGGGTGTATGTGAGTGTGTGTGAGTGAGTGTATGAGTGAGTGTGTGTGTGAGTGAGTGTGCGTATGTGTGTCTGTGTTTAGCTATGGGAGGAATACAAAATACGGAAGGCAACCCGTGCAGAACAAGGTGGAGAATATAGAAACGGTGACGACGATGATAATGACGACGATGATGACGACGATGATGACAATGGTGACGTTGATATCCATGACGATGATGACGATAATGATGCCGACGACGACAATGACGACAATAACGATGACGCTGATAATGACGCCGATGATACCGACGAGGGCAGCGACGAGTGCGACGTTCTCGCGCGAACGTACGGCAGAAGTCGGGCGAGCGCCAGCGCACGGGCGCCCCGGCCTGCGCACACGCGTGTGCGTACGCGGCGACGCTGTCGCAGAGGCAGGCGCAGTCGCCCGGAGCCTCGCACGCACACGCCTCATTCACGCACCACTCCAGGTGCTCCTGCACCGACACCTGGCGGGGCACGGGGCACGGGGGCACGGGTCAGGGCAGAGGTAGTAGCAAGGTAGGGGTAGGGCAGGGGTAGGTCAGAAGAAGGGCTAGGGGCATGGTAGAGGCAGGGTCATGGGTAGGGGCAGGGTAGGGGCACGGTAGGGGCAGGGTAAGGACAGGGTAGGGGCAGGGTAAGGGCAGGGTAGGGCTAAGCAGGGGTAAGGGCAGGGTAGGGGCAGGGTAGGGGCAGGGTAAGGGCAGGGTAGGGCTAAGCAGGGGTAAGGGCAGGGTAGGGGCAGGGTGGGGGCAGGGTAGGGGCAGGGTAGGGGCAGGGTAAGGGCAGGGTAGGGCTAAGCAGGGGTAAGGGCAGGGTAGGGGCAGGGTAGGGGCAGGGTAGGGGTAAGGGCAGGGGGGAGGCAGGGGCAGGCTTGCCGGGCGTGGTGTATCATTCACGTGTTCGACCACGCATTTGTTTGTTAATTCATTCACGTGGTCACCCACTCGCTGATTTCACTCATTCGCTCAGACACTCATTCAGTCATTCATTAAGTCATTCGCTCAACTTGAGCACTCGCTAAAATTTCATCCGCTCGTTCATTTTCCTCATTTATTCGCTCGGTCAGTCATTCATCTGCTCGTTCATTCCCCTCATTCATTGGCTCGTATCATTCATTGTCTCGTATCATTCATTCTCCCGCTCGTCCACGCAGCGGTACCCGCTTGTTGCACTCTTGGAAGGCGGCGCTGAGCATCACGGAGCACGCGGCCTCCGCCTGCGAGCGCTTGCGGAAGTCTCCCTTGCAGGCGGGCACCAGCTGAGTCCACCACGGCACAGTCACCCACGCACGTGTCAACCGTAGTATAGTCATCCGCGCACGTGCCAACCCACACACGTGTCACCCACACACGTGTCACCCACGCACGTGTCACCCACACAAGTGTCACCCACGCACGTGTCAAACCACACACGTGTCACCCACACACGTGTCACCCACACACGTGTCACCCACACACGTGTCACCCACGCACGTGTCAAACCACACACGTGTCACCCACACACGTGACACCCACACACGTGTCACCCACACACGTGTCACCCACGCACGTGACACCCACACACGTGTCACCCACGCACGTGTCACCCACGCACGTGTCAAACCACACACGTGTCAAACCACACACGTGTCACCCACACACGTGACACCCACACACGTGTCACCCACACACGTGTCACCTCATACACGTGTCACCCCACCCACGTGTCACACCACACACACGTGTCACCCACACATGTGTCACCCACGCACGTGTCAATCGTAGCATAGTCAACGGTAGCACAGTCAAACATTGCATAGTCAGACACTGCAACTGATGATGATGATGGCTGCTGTTGCTGCTGATGACGACAATGACAATGGTAAAGATGATTATGACAGTAACGATGATGACGATGACAAGGATGACGAGGATGACAAAATGATGATGACGATGACGACTAAAATAACGATGATGACGTTGACGCTGCTGCCATTACCATCATGATGACGACGATGACATTGATGACCACATCCTCGCCGATGATGACGACGGTGACGATGGAGACGGCGACGATGACGACGAGAGCGACGGTGATGACGAGGATGACGACGACAACAGTCACGGTGACGACGGTGACGACGATGATGGCAACAGTGACAGTGATGATTATGACGACGGTAACAATGACGACGAGGGTGACGGTGACGAGGCTGACGTTGATGACAAAGACGGTGACGGCAATGACGACGACGGTCGTGATGACGACAACAGTGACGGTGACGACGATGATGACGGTGACAACGATGATGATGATGACGACGGTAACAATGACGACGAGAGTGACGGTGATGATGATGATGATTATGACGTCAACAGTGACTGGTGACGATGGCGACGATGATAACAGTGACCGTAATGACGACGATGACGACGTCAATGACGAGGAGGAGGAGGGTGATGACAACGGTGACGGTGACGAGGAGGAGGAGGGTGCGTTACCGGCGGGGCGGCGGCGCACGCCGGGTCGGTGCGCCACGAGTCGCCGAAGTCGGCGGCGCTGCCCTCGGCTGCGTTGCCGCTGCTCACCAGGTCGTCGTTCTGGCTCCCGTCGAAGTTGCCGCACAGGCCGCACACTTTGCCCTGCGCGGCGGCACACAAAGACGCTGGCTAGGAGATGTTGACTACCTCGCCTGGTGTACAGGAGGTCGTGGGTTCAATCCCGACGCTGACGACGCCTGCTGCTGTATAGTTGGAGTTCGCGTGTCTCTCTCTCATCATCATCACGGTGGCTAGGAGATGTTAACTACCTCGCCTGGTCTACAGGATGTCGTGGTTCGATCCTGACCCTGACGACGCCTACTGCTGCTGTATATTTGGAGTTTGCGTGTCTCTCTCTTCATCATCATCACGGTGGCTAGGAGATGTTGACTGCGAGTCTTGCTCACATTAACAACAAAAAGTTTTGCTGGCTGACTGGCTGGCCGGAGTAAACGTGGCGGACGGATGCACCGATGCCCGCGAGCGAGCGAGTGAGCGCGTCCCTCACCTGGTAGCGGCCGTCGATGGTGACGACGACGCGCATGGCGCGGTCCCACAGCACGGAGAAGCCCCGCTCGGTGAGGAGCAGCAGGTAGGCGCCGGTGCGCCGCACGCTCAGATCCGCACCCTCCGGCGCCTTCTTCCTCACGTGGGCCTGGCCAGGGTCGCGGCGGGGTCACGGCGGGGTCACGTCGAAGTTGTGGCGGGGTCACGGTGTGGTCACGGCGGGGTCACGTCGAGGTTGTGGCAGGGTCACGGTGGGGTCACGGCGGTTCACGGCGGGGTCACGTCGAGGTTGTGCCGGGGTCACGGTGGGTTCACGGCGGGGTCACGTCGAGGTTGTGCCAAGGTCACGGTGGGGTCACGGCGGGGTCACGTCGAGGTTGTGGCAGGGTCACGGTGGGGGTCCCCACGGCCAAGGTTCGAGTAACAACGATGATTTATGACAGGCGCCGAGTCGCTTAGTGGCGAATGGCGGGTGTCGGTATCGGTGCCGTGGCCTTACAAAGAGAAAGCGTACGACGTTTCGGGCAACGAGCCTTCTTAACAAGCACATGTTCGAGAGGTCCGAGAAAGAGCAAGAGAGTGAGAGTGAGAGCGAGAGTGAGAACGAGAGTGAGAGCAAGCGAATCTTTCATTTAAACAGGGGGGGGAGCACATAAAGCAAAGCAATGGGAAAAACAAACTAAATGATGAACGAAGAAAAGTGGCGACTAAACCGAGCATTTTCTTGCTTCCTCTGATCGTAAAAAAGAAGAGAGAGAGCGAGTGAGCGAGTGAGTGAGAGAGAGGAGACGTTGAACGTACCGCGCCGTCCATCATCTCGACGAGAGTTCCGCGGTAAAACACCGACACGCGCTTGGAGCAGCGCCGTCCCGGTCGCGTGGCACAGCCGGCGTTCTCCACCAGCACGCGGAACGAGCCGCCTCCACCGCCGTCGCCACCGTCGCCGCGGGCGTCGTCACCGGGATCACCGCAGAAATCCTGGGCCGTGGGGGGCACGCGGAGGGGGGGACGGGGAGCGGGGGATGGCGCACGTGAGAGAGAGAGAGTGAGAGAGAGGGTGAGTGAGAGAGTGAGAGAGTGAGAGTACCTGCGTGCGTGTCTCACCTGCCCCGCCACGTACCTGTATGTGAGTCTCACCTGCCCCAGCACGTACCTGCGTGCGTATCTCACCTGCCCCACCACGTACCTGCGTGCGTGTCTCACCTGCTCCAGCACGTACCTGTAGGTGAGTCTCACCTGCCCCGCCACGTACCTGTAGGTGAGTCTCATCTGCGCCAGGACGTACCTGTAGGTGAGTCTCACCTGCCCCAGCACGTACCTGCGTGCGTGTCTCACCTGCGCCAGCACATACCTGTAGGTGAGTCTCACCTGCCCCGCCACGTACCTGTAGGTGAGTCTCACCTGCGCCAAGACGTACCTGTAGGTGAGTCTCACCTGCGCCAGCACGTACCTGTAGCTGAGTCTCACCTGCCCCAGCACGTACCTGTAGGTGAGTCTCACCTGCCCCAGCACGTACCTGCGTGCGTGTCTCACCTGCCCCACCACGTACCTGTAGGTGAGTCTCACCTGCCCCAGCACGTACCTGCGTGCGTATCTCACCTGCCCCACCACGTACCTGCGTGCGTGTCTCACCTGCGCCAGCACGTACCTGTAGGTGAGTCTCACCTGCCCCACCACGTACCTGTAGGTGAGTCTCACCTGCCCCACCACGTACCTGTAGGTGAGTCTCACCTGCCCTAGGACGTACCTGCGTGCGTGTCTCACCTGCGCCAGGACGTACTTGCAGGCGCCCCCGAATGCGAACCTCGTCCCGTCGAAGGTGGCGTAGTGAGCGGCCCCCACGGTGGCGCACGAGGCGGGGCACACGTGACCCGTGCAGTGCCACCTGCGTCCTCGGCACAGGCTGCGGAAGAGACGGGGGGGGGGGGGGGGGTCGACAGTTCGCGACGTTGACGAGGTGGCGACGAGGTGGTGACGAGGTCACCGCACCGGCGATGTCGTCTAAGACAGCGTTTTGACGGCGGAGTGTCGACGGTCGGTCGGTCGGCTCGGTGGTGGGAAGGCCGTGAGCTTGAATCCTGGTGATGTCGGCGGTCGACTCAGATCGTCGTCGTCGTCATCGTCGTCATCGTCCTCATCGTCCTCATCATCTCTAGCTCCCGCCGGGAAGGATAAAATGGGTACCATTTTGCGTGGGGAAAAGTCACCCCCTGACCCCCCACCCCTTCTCAAACCTCCTCCCCCACAACCCCGCCCATAGGAATGTGGAATTTTCACCACTGGCCCTGCCAAGGCTGTACACGGCAGAGGAGCGGCGGTGTCTCAATTGGCGGGTGGCCTGGCCGGGTGGTGCGGTCAGTCCACAAGAGGTCAACAGGTCAACAGGTTGCTTGGTCAAAAGGTCAGACCATTCGACTGGTTTCACAGTCACATGTCAACCGGTCAACAGGTCGACCAGCTGTCAGTTTTCACTGTCGCAGAGGTCAACCAATGAACGAGTTTCCTGGTCGAGAAGCAACTCGGTCATGAGTTCACTGGGTCAACAAACCCTCACTCAACAAGTTGCCCAATCAAACGCTCAAAGCAGTCAAAAAGTTGCCCAGTCAAAAGGTCAACCATTCAACAAGTTGCCCAGTCCAGATCTTAAAGCAGTCAACAAGTTGCCTGGTCTAAAGGTCAACCATTCAACAAGTTTCCCAGTCAAAAGGTCAACCATTCAACAAGTTGCTCAGTCAAAAGGTCAACCATTCAGCAAGTTGCCCAGTCAAAAGGTCAACCATTCAACAAGTTTCCCAGTCAAAAGGTCAACCATTCAACAAGTTGCTCAGTCAAAAGGTCAACCATTCAGCAAGTTGCCCAGTCAAAAGGTCAACCATTCAACAAGTTGCCCAGTCAAACACTCAAAGCAGTCAACCAAGTACCCGGTCTAAAGAGCAACCCATTCAACAAGTTGCCCAGTCAAAAGGTCAACCATTCAACAAGTTGCCCAGTCAAACACTCAAAGCAGTCAACCAAGTACCCGGTCTAAAGAGCAACCCATTCAACAAGTTGCCCAGTCAAAAGGTCAACCATTCAACAAGTTGCCCAGTCAAACACTCAAAGCAGTCAACCAAGTACCCGGTCTAAAGAGCAATCCATTCAACAAGTTGCCCAGTCAAAAGTAGTTGCCAGGCGAGAGGGTAAGCGGGCGGGCGAGCGCGGAGCGAAGTCGGATGCGACGTACCAGGTGTTGCAGGCAACCTGCACCGTTCTCCCTGGGGCGAACTCCTTGCCGTGGTGCAGGCACGGGCACTGGTCAGGCAGCACACACTTGGAGCCGTGCAGCACCTGCAGCGTCGTTATCATCATCATCAGCGTACTCATCAGCATCATCATCAGCATCATCGTCAGCATCATCATCATCCATATACACTTGGAGCCGTGCAGCACCTGCAGCGTCGTCGTCGTCATCATCATCATCAGCATCATCATCATCATCAGCATCATCATCAGCATAATCATCATCATCCAGATGCACTTGGAGCCGTGCAGCACCTGTGGCATCATCAGCGTGAGCATCATCATGAGCATCATTACCAGCATCATCGTGAGCATCATCAGCATGAGTATCATCAGCAACAGCAGCATCAGCAGCAGCATCAACACGCTGATGATGCTGCACTTACAACAATGCACCGTCTGCAGCAACAGCATCATCATCAGCGTGAGCATCATCATCAGCATCATCATCAGCAGCAGCATCAACGTCAGCATGAGCATCATCAGCAGCATCAGCATGGCGATCACCATCTCCACCATCACTGCGATGCTGATAGCCTCCTTCACCATCGTCACCACCACCACAATCACCACCACAATCACCACCACCACAATCACCACCACAATCACCACCACCACAATCACCACCACAATCACCACCAATCCACTCACCCTGCCCTGGGGGCACGCACAGCCAGAGAATACCACCATCACCGCCAACACCATCACCACCACCAACACCACCAACACCAATCGACTCACCCTGCCCTGGGGGCACGCACAGCCAGAAAATACCACCACCACCACAATCACCACCATCACCACCACCACCACCAATCGACTCACTCTGCCCTGGGGGCACGCACAGTCAGAAAATACCACCACCACCATCACCACGACCACAATCACCACCACCATCACCACCACCATCACCACCACCAACACCACCAACACCAATCGACTCACCCTGCCCTGGGGGCACGCGCAGCCTGAGACGCAGCCGCTGCTGCTGCTGCGCCTGCACTCTGCGTCGTTGTCGAGGCTGCGGCACGAGGGGGCACACTCCACCCCCACGGCGGAACGGTCCCCAGCGCGGCACGAGACACGCACCATGGGGGGGCGGCACGGGGCACTCCTCCGCACTACGGGCGGGGCGGGGGGGGCACACATGGGAGAGGGGGAGGGGGGGAGGAGGGAGAGGGGGAGGGGGGGAGGGAGAGGGGGAGGAGATGTGGGGAGGTAGCCAGGAAAGAGGGGGGGGGCAGGAGGAGGTATGAGGGAGGATGCAGTAGGATAATAGGGGGAGGTAGGAGGGAAAGAGGGGGATCAGGATGGAGGGAGGAGAGGGAGGGAAAGGGGAGGAAGGGCGGGGGCTGAAAACAGCTTCTTGCAATAGTCGTCCACAAATAGCTAATTCGGTTGCAAGCAACCGGTTGCGGCAATTGCTCGCGACCGGTTGCGGGGCGGGGGGGGGGCAACGACCGCCACGCAACGGGTTGCGCGCAAGCCGTCGGGGTGCGGGCCCACACGCACACGCACACACGCTCACGCACGCACACACACACGCGCGGACACACACGCAGACACACGCACACACACACACACGCACACACACGCACACACACGCGCGCACACGCGCGCACACACACGCAGACACACGCACACGCACGCGCACGCACACACACGCACGCGCACGCACACACACACACGCACACACACGCACACACACACACGCACACGCGCACGCACACACACACACGCACACACACGCACGCAGACACACGCACACACACACGCACACACACGCACACACACGCGCGCACACACACGCAGACACACGCACACGCACGCGCACGCACACACACGCACACGCACGCGCACGCACACACACACACGCACACACACGCACACACACGCGCGCACGCACACGCAGACACACGCACACACACACGCACCTCGCTCCACGGCGGCGGGGCCACGCAGGGTGGCAAGGGCGGGCGTCGCGCCGTGAGTCTCCGAGCAGCGCATCACCCCCGCCTCGCAGTAGCTGGCAGACACACGCAGAGCACACACACACACATATATAGATAACACATGGAATGAACGAAGGAACGAAAGAATGAACAAAGGAACGAAAGAATGAACAAAGGAATGAACAAAGGAATGAACGAAAGAACGAACGAATGAACAATGGAATGAACGAAGGAACGAAATAATGACCAAAGGAATGATCGAAGGAACGAAAGAATGAACGAACGAAGGAACGAAAGAATGAACAAAGGAATGAACGAAGGAACGAAATAATGAACAAAGGAATGAAAAAAGGAACAAAAAAAGAATGATCGAAGGAACGAAAGAACGAACAAAGGAATGAACGAAGGAATGACCAAATGAATGAACGAAAGAATGAACGAAAGAATGAACAAAGGAAAGAACGAAGGAATAAACGAAGGAACGAATGAACGAAATAATGAACGAAGGAATGAACGAAGGAACGAAAGAATGAACAAAGGAATGAGCGAAGGACCGAGCGAAGGACCGAGCGAGCGGCTCACCACACGGACATGTGCCGCGCGACCACCTCGCCCGGCTCGAACACCTCCCCGGCGTGGCGGCACGGGCAGCCCGCGGCGGCCACGCACGTCCCGGCGAGGCCCCCCTCCCCCGAGGAGGAGGCGAACGTGCCCCGGGGGCAGAAGCAGCCCTCCAGGCACTCGTCGGGCTGGCACAGCGGGTCGCCCGCCGACAGCGAGAGGCACGTGCGGTTACAGGGAGAGGCGCAGCGAGAGTACTCGCGACCCTCCGGGCAGCGTGGCGCTGGCACCCACACGCGGAGGGAGGGAGGGAGAGGTGCGGGTGAAGGTCGTGGTGGAGGTGAAGGTCGTGGTGCAGGTGAAGGTCGTGGTGGTGAAGGTCGTGGTGCAGGTGTAGGTGGTGGTGGTGAAGGTGGTGGTGGAGGTGAAGGTGTTGGTGGTGAAGGTCGTGGTGGTGAAGGTCGTGGTGGTGAAGGTCGTGGTGGAGGTGAAGGTGAAGGTCGTGGTGGAGGTGAAGGTCGTGGTGGAGGTGAAGGTGTTGGTGGTGAAAGTGGTGCTGGTGGTGGTGTTAGCCATTGAACGGGAATCGAACTCGGGTCTCCGGGTACCCACCGCTCCCCACCACCCACCGCTCCCCACCACCACCACACCACCACCCACCGCTCCCCACCACACCACCACCACCGCACCACGAGGCGTCACTCACGGCACAGCCGCTCGCTGCGCCAGTCCACGGTGGCCCCCTGCGAGTCGCAGGCGCGCGCGTACGCGGCGATGGCGTCGCAGAGGCAGGCGCCGCCGGGCGGGCACGAGCACGCGTCGCGCGTGCACGCGCGCACGAACGCGGCCGGGGGCACGCGCGCGTGGCACGGGGCGAACACGGAGGACAGCAGCAGCGAGCACGACTCGTCGGCGTCACGGGCTGTGACACGCGCAGGCAGAGGCACACACAGACAGACAGGTCCATCAACACCCAAACAAACAAAGACAAAGGTCAGTTTAACACGTAGGCTTTCGCGACCAATGTTATTCATAATCAACGATTTTTGGGTTTAGATCGCGTTTATTTATAAATGTGTCGTAACCCTCCACCACCCGACACGGCCAATCAGTAAAAATGTGTCACGTTGACAAAGACAAATAGTTCACTGCTTTAGCCCACCGGTGTGTTGAAGCAACAATATTTACAATTTGAGTAGTACGACGTTTCGCTGGTAATTGCAATCAGCATCATCGGGCAATTCGCCAGAATGGTGAGGCTCTGCTGTGTCTCCCGTTCTTATATAGAGCAGCAGCAGGATGACGTCATCATTAACTCATTATAGCCTTGGTAGACTTTTGGGGGCAAGTGCTGATAGATAGAGAGCACACACACACACACACGAGGTGGGGAGACCCACACACTGAGACAGAAATGTGACGCGTGTATCACGCAGCACTACCTAGCGTAGCAGCAGTATGTAGCAGAAGCGGTAGCAGTACGTAGTAGTAATAGTACGAATTTGTATGTAGCAGTCGTGGCAGTACGTCGTAGTAGCAGCAGTAGCAGTAGTACATAGTATTAGTAGCAGTACGTAGTAGTAGCAGCAGTACATAGTAGTATCGGTAGCTGTACGTAGTAGTAGCAGTACGTTGTATTAGCAGCAGTAGTAGCAGTATGTAGTAGTGCAGTAGTACGTAGTAGCATATAGTAGTAGTTTGTAGTAGTAGTATGTAGTAGTGTATAGTAGTAGTATGTAGTAGTAGTGTATAGTAGTAGTTTTGTTATTTTCTTTGAACCTATCTACGTGACTTTACCGAAAGACCCAAGAATATGAATTCCTGCAGTCACGAAAGCTTTAAGTCAAGATATAGTAGTAGTGTATTGTAGTATTTAGTAGTATATATTAGTAGTAGTAGTAATATGTAGTATATAGTAGTAGTATGTAGTAGTATGTCGTAGTATATAATAGTAACATGTAGTATATAGTAGTAGTGTGTAGTAGTGTATAGTAGTTGTTCTGCCCCACGGCAGATATGGGGGGGTGTTTACACAGGGACTTCCTGATAGGATGGTGTTGAGTTTGGTCACGTGACCAGCAAGTTACGAGTTCAGGATCTCGAAGCCACGAGGCAAGGCGGGGGTGTCAGCCATTACACAAATACAAAATGGAGGCACAAGTAGCGTCTCAGTGAAGACAGGTGCATCTGTTTGTTGTGGGACTTTAAGAAGCATTGTCTGAAAGTTCGTTTATGTTCTTATAATCCTGGGAATGCTGTTATAATGTTAGGATTGCGGTTATAATGCTGTAAATGCCTTTATAATGCTGGTAAATTGTTACGATGAATATGGGGCCTAGTTAACAACGAAGCCTGCCACTTGCATTATTGTGAAAGCTATGTGTAGTTGAATAAGTCGAGTCAGACTTGTGACCATCTAACTTTGATGCGATCTTGAGAGCAAGGATGAAGAAGTATCTCATCCACAGTTCAGTGTTAGATGCAGTACTGTACATTTAGGCTGCAGTATGGTGATTACACAAAGTGACATTTAACACTGTGGCTTATTCTTTGTTGTATAGCTATTCAATGCTAATGTAGGTGCCTGGCCTATCCAGGTCCTATTGTCGAGATTCATGTTATCTAAGACAATGTTATGATGATGCTGCAGTGTTCATTCATTGTATTGATATTGCAAGTATTAATGGATGCTGTATTTTGTGTTGTGTTTTTCCATCAATTTTATCTCGTTTCATTCATTAAATACGTTGGAGTCGGATGTTCACCCTGGCTCTGAAGGTTTATTGAATGCGAGGATAACTACTCAGATAGTGGTACAACACAGCGCACAGTGAGGCCGAGACAGTAGTAGTGTACAGTAGTAGTGTATAGTAATAGTGTATAGTAATAGTGTATAGTAGTAGTAGTATATAGTAGTAGTGTGTAGTAGTGTATAGTAGTAGTAGTGGTGTATAGTAGTAGTGTATAGTAGTGTATAGTAGTAGTAGTGTATAGTAGTAGCAGTACCCTGCTTGGCGTTGAGGGTGCAGGGATCTGCTGCTGCCCCCGCTGGGGTCTAGTGTATAGTAGTAGTGTATAGTAGTAGTGTATAGTAGTAGTAGTGTATAGTAGTAGTAGTAGCAGTACCCTGCTTGGCGTTGAGGGTGCAGGGATCTGCTGCTGCTGCCCCCGCTGGGGTCTAGTGTATAGTAGTAGTGTATAGTAGTAGTGTGTATAGTAGTGTATAGTAGTAGTAGTGTATAGTAGTACGTGCAGTACCCCGCTTGGCGTTGAGGGTGCAGGGATCTGCTGCTGCCCCCGCTGGGGTCTAGTGTATAGTAGTAGTGTATAGTAGTAGTGTATAGTAGTAGTGTAAAGTAGTAGGAGTGTGTAGTAGTAGTAGTATCAGTACCCCGCTTGGCGTTGAGGGTGCAGGGATCTGCTGCTGCCCCCGCTGGGGTCTCCGAGGCGGCGGTGCCGGGGGAGGCCTCGCAGGCCGCGCCGAGGCGCCACGAGTCGGCGAAGTCGCCGGGCCGCACCTCCACGAGGCCCGCCGGGGTGCGGAGGTCGTCGCCGGCGTTGCCGTCGAAGTTGCCGCAGAGGCCGCACACGCGGCCCGCAAACTGTGCGCTCAGCTGGGGCGGCCACGGTGGTGGCGGCGTGAGAGGGGTGGTGAGGGTGGGAGGGGTGGTGAGGGTGGGAGAGTTGGTGAGTGTGAGGGGTGGTGAGGGTGAGAGGGGTGGTGAGGGTGGGAGGGGTGGTGAGGGTGAGAGGGGTGGTGAGGGTGGGAGGGGTGGTGAGGGTGGGAGGGGTGGGCAGGGTGAGAGGGGTGGTGAGGGTGAGAGGGGTGGTGAGGGTGAGAGGGGTGGTGAGGGTGGGAGAGTTGGTGAGTGTGAGGGGTGGTGAGGGTGAGAGGGGTGGTGAGGGTGGGAGGGGTGGTGAGGGTGAGAGGGGTGGTGAGGGTGGGAGAGTTGGTGAGTGTGAGAGGTGGGGAGGGTGAGAGAGGTGGTGAGGGTGGGAGAGGTGGTGAGGGTGGGAGGGGTGGTGAGGGTGAGAGGGGTGGTGAGGGTGAGAGGGGTGGTGAGGGTGAGAGGGGTGGTGAGGGTGGGAGAGGTGGTGAGGGTGAGAGGGGTGGTGAGGGTGGGAGGGGTGGTGAGGGTGAGAGGGGTGGTGAGGGTGGGAGGGGTGGTGAGGGTGAGAGGGGTGGTGAGGGTGAGAGAGGTGGTGAGGGTGAGAGGGGTGGTGAGGGTGACAGGGGTGGTGAGGGTGGGAGGGGTGGTGAGGGTGGGAGAGGTGGTGAGGGTGGGAGGGGTGGTGAGGGTGGGAGGGGTGGTGAGGGTGGGAGGGGTGGTGAGGGTGGGAGGGGTGGTGAGGGTGGGAGGGGTGGTGAGGGTGGGAGAGGTGGTGAGGGTGGGAGGGGTGGTGAGGGTGGGAGGGGTGGTGAGGGTGAGAGGGGTGGTGAGGGTGGGAGGGGTGGTGAGGGTGGGAGGGGTGGTGAGGGTGAGAGGGGTGGTGAGGGTGGGAGGGGTGGTGAGGGTGAGAGGGGTGGTGAGGGTGAGAGAGGTGGTGAGGGTGAGAGGGGTGGTGAGGGTGACGGGTGGTGAGGGTGGGAGGGGTGGTGAGGGTGGGAGAGGTGGTGAGGGTGGGAGGGGTGGTGAGGGTGGGAGGGGTGGTGAGGGTGGGAGGGGTGGTGAGGGTGGGAGGGGTGGTGAGGGTGGGAGGGGTGGTGAGGGTGACAGGGGTGGTGAGGGTGGGAGGGGTGGTGAGGGTGGGAGGGGTGGTGAGGGTGGGAGGGGTGGTGAGGGTGGGAGAGGTGGTGAGGGTGAGAGTTGTGTGGTGAGGGTCATGGTGGTGATGGTCATGGTAGCGAGGGTTAGAGGGGTGGTGAGAGACATGGTAGTGGTGGGGGTCACGGTAGTGGTGGGGGTTAGAGTGGTGGTGATGGAGAGGGTCAGGGGGGTGGTGAGGGTTAGAGTGGTGGTCAGGGTGGTGGTGGTGAATTTTGCAGTGAATGTGATGGTGAGCTAATGGTGAGAGTGGTGAAGGTGGTGATGGTGAGGGTGGTGATCATAACTACTCAGGTATCTTTGCACTTTGCCCGCGGTGGCTATGAGATGTTAACTCCCTCGCCTGCTGTGCAGGAGGTCATGGGTTTGATCCCGACCCTGACGCCTGCTGCTGTATATTTGGAATTTGCGTCTCTCTCTCCGGTTTTTCCCTCCACGTTAAGAATCAACATCGCACATTCAGAGTATTTGGCTGTGGCTATAAATGTCCACGTGATGATGATAAGCCACGTGGTTGAGCTATCATTCGTGGCCAGGTCGCTTCCATAAAAGAGCCATATAGCTCAATGGGCCTTAGTCAAATAAAAAATAGTTTACAGTTTAATTTTCGATTTAAAGCTTTCGTGACTGCAGGGATTCATCTTCTTGGTTCTTTCGGTAAAGTCACGTAGAACGGAGGTAATAAAATAATAAAATAAAACATAATAAAATAATTCTCACGACGTTTCGGCCACAACTTACGTGACTTTACCGAAAGAACCAAGAAGATAGTTCATAGTTTACTTGATCAGTCGACCGTGAAGATAAAAACAATTATTAAGCAGCGACAAAATCGTGACACGGCCATTGTGAAGCCACCGGCACCGTCCCGGCCAAACCCAATCTGGTACAGTTTGTCAGCTTGAATCTCCGTGCGATCCACCAAACACATCCACCCCGGGGGTCTAGCGTGCGCGGGCCCCCCACCTTGAGCCTCACGGAGCCGTGTCCATCCCAGTCGAGGCGAAACGTGTCGCCGTAGGCCAGCCTCACGCCCGTTGGGAACGAGTTGAACACCGAGACGCGGCCTGGAGGACAGAGACAACGTTCCCCTGTGAAGCCTCTTGTTTTTACTCATCAGAATCACAATGTGGATTTATACTGGAGGAATCCGATGAGCTATGAAGTTATTCTTTTTTACAGGCGTCCAGTCGGAGGGGCTGGGTGGGGAGGGTGGGGAGGGGCTGGGTGGGGAGGGTGGGGGGGGGGCTGGGTGGGGCTGGGTGGGGAGGGTGGGGAGGGGCTGGGTGGGGAGGGGCTGGGTGAGGAGGGTGGGGAGGGGCTGGGTGGGGAGGGGCTGGGTGGGGAGGGTGGGGAGGGGCTGGGTGGGGAGGGTGGGGGGGGGGCTGGGTGGGGCTGGGTGGGGAGGGTGGGGAGGGGCTGGGTGGGGAGGGGCTGGGTGAGGAGGGTGGGGAGGGGCTGGGTGGGGAGGGGCTGGGTGGGGAGGAGCTGGGTGGGGAGGGTGGGGAGGGGCTGGGTGGGGAGGGTGGGGAGGGGCTGGGTGGGGAGGGTGGGGGGGGGGCTGGGTGGGGCTGGGTGGGGAGGGTGGGGAGGGGCTGGGTGGGGAGGGTGGGGGGGGGGCTGGGTGGGGCTGGGTGGGGAGGGTGGGGAGGGGCTGGGTGGGGAGGGGCTGGGTGAGGAGGGTGGGGAGGGGCTGGGTGGGGAGGGGCTGGGTGGGGAGGAGCTGGGTGGGGAGGGTGGGGAGGGGCTGGGTGGGGAGGGTGGGGAGGGGCTGGGTGGGGAGGGTGGGGGGGGGGCTGGGTGGGGCTGGGTGGGGAGGGTGGGGAGGGGCTGGGTGGGGAGGGGCTGGGTGAGGAGGGTGGGGAGGGGCTGGGTGGGGAGGGGCTGGGTGGGGAGGAGCTGGGTGGGGAGGGTGGGGAGAGGCTGGGTGGGGCTGGGTGGGGTGGGGCTGGGTGGGGAGGGTGGGGAGGGGCTGGGTGGGGAGGGGCTGGTTGGCGAGGGTGGGGCTGGGTGGGGGGTGGGAGGGTTGGGCTGGGTGGGGAGGGGAGGGGCTGGTCACCCCGTGGTGCCCTTATAAAACTCAACGTGTAACCTACTCACGCCGGCTTGTGCCCGCCCTCACAGTCGGCCATATTTGCGGAATACACCACGCCGCCGTTGACCCTGGCCATTGACCGAGCAACCCAACGTTCCTACCAGCTCCCTCCGCAGGAATGTGTTAATAGTGTAGTAGTATTAATAAGACATGGACCAGGTTGTCAAGTTCATCGTCAAGGCTGTCAGCGCACACGGTTTAGCCCGTGTTCTTGTGCAGTGTCTAGGTCCGTATGGCGTACAGCCGTTTCACTACGGGGGGTAAATGTCGATTTGTCCGTGTTTCTCGCGTGTGATGGGACTTTGTGGGATGAACGTTGAGATTTATCAGCGGCACGGGGTGACCGATATTGTCTGACTCGGTTGAAATGTCTCTTGCCTAGGATTGCCTCTGGGGCTGCGGTTCCACAGCTGATGCCCCCCCCCCCCACGTGGTCCCCCCGTGCCCCCCCCCCTCACCGTGGCGGTAGGGCAGGCGAATGTCCACGTCGCCCAGAGACACGAGACCGCCGTGGGAGAGACGCAGCGTGGCGTTGTCCAGCTCGGGGACGGACACGCTCAGCGCCTCCAAGCACACGGCGGACGGGTCTTCCCCGCACTGCACACCGCCAGCGGCAGCGTCAGCAGAGTCAGCAGCATCAGTAGTGTTAGCAGCATCAGTAGTATCAGCAGCATCAGTAGAGTCAGCAGCATCAGTAGAGTCAGCAGCATCAGTAGTGTTAGCAGCATCAGTAGTGTCAGCAAAATCAGCAGTGTTAGCAGCATCAGTAGAGTCAGCAGCATCAGTAGTGTCAGCAGAATCAGTAGTGTTAGCAGCATCAGTAGTGTCAGCAGCATCAGTAGTGTTAGCAAAATCAGTAGAGTCAGTAGCATCAGTAGTGTCAGCAGAATCAGTAGTGTTAGCAGCATCAGTAGTGTCAGCAGCATCAGTAGTGTTAGCAAAATCAGTAGAGTCAGTAGCATCAGTAGTGTCAGCAGAATCAGCAGTGTTAGCAGCATCAGTAGAGTTAGCAGCATCAGTAGTGTCAGCAGAATCAGCAGTGTTAGCAGCATCAGTAGTGTTAGCAGCATCAGTAGTGTTAGCAGCATCAGTAGTGTCAGCAGCATCAGTAGTGTCAGCAGCATCAGTAGAGTCAGCAGCATCAGTAGTGTTAGCAGCATCAGTAGTGTTAGCAGCATCAGTAGTGTCAGCAGCATCAGTAGTGTTAGCAGCATCAGTAGAGTCAGCAGCATCAGTAGTGTCAGCAGCATCAGTAGAGTTAGCAGCATCAGTAGAGTCAGCAGCATCAGTAGTGTTAGCAGCATCAGTAGAGTCAGCAGCATCAGTAGTGTTAGCAGCATCAGCAGTGTTAGCAGCATCAGTAGAGTTAGCAGCATCAGTAGTGTTAGCAGCATCAGTAGTGTTAGCAGCATCAGTAGTGTTAGCAGCATCAGTAGAGTCAGCAGCATCAGTAGTGTCAGCAGCATCAGCAGTGTCAGCAGCATCAGTAGAGTTAGCAGCATCAGTAGTGTTAGCAGCATCAGTAGTGTCAGCAGCATCAGTAGAGTCAGCAGCATCAGTAGAGTCAGCAGCATCAGTAGTGTTAGCAGCATCAGTAGTGTCAGCAGCATCAGTAGTGTCAGCAGCATCAGTAGAGTTAGCAGCATCAGTAGAGTCAGCAGCATCAGTAGTGTTAGCAGCATCAGTAGAGTCAGCAGCATCAGTAGAGTTAGCAGCATCAGTAGTGTTAGCAGCATCAGTAGAGTTAGCAGCATCAGTAGTGTTAGCAGCATCAGTAGTGTTAGCAGCATCAGTAGTGTTAGCAGCATCAGTAGAGTTAGCAGCATCAGTAGAGTCAGCAGCATCAGTAGTGTTAGCAGCATCAGCAGTGTCAGCAGCATCAGTAGTGTTAGCAGCATCAGTAGTGTTAGCAGCATCAGTAGTGTCAGCAGCATCAGTAGAGTTAGCAGCATCAGTAGTGTTAGCAAAATCAGTAGAGTCAGTAGCATCAGTAGTGTCAGCAGAATCAGTAGTGTCAGCAGCATCAGTAGAGTTAGCAGCATCAGTAGTGTCAGCAGCATCAGTAGTGTTAGCAGCATCAGTAGTGTCAGCAGCATCAGTAGTGTTAGCAGCATCAGTAGTGTCAGCAGCATCAGTAGTGTTAGCAGCATCAGTAGTGTCAGCAGCATCAGTAGTGTTAGCAAAATCAGTAGAGTCAGTAGCATCAGTAGTGTCAGCAGAATCAGCAGTGTTAGCAGCATCAGTAGAGTTAGCAGCATCAGTAGTGTCAGCAGCATCAGTAGTGTTAGCAGCATCAGTAGTGTCAGCAGCATCAGTAGTGTTAGCAGCATCAGTAGTGTTAGCAGCATCAGTAGTGTTAGCAGCATCAGTAGTGTCAGCAGCATCAGTAGTGTTAGCAGCATCAGTAGTGTCAGCAGCATCAGTAGTGTTAGCAGCATCAGTAGTGTCAGCAGCATCAGTAGTGTCAGCAGCATCAGTAGTGTCAGCAGCATCAGTAGTGTTAGCAGCATCAGTAGTGTTAGCAGCATCAGTAGTGTCAGCAGCATCAGTAGAGTCAGCAGCATCAGTAGTGTTAGCAGCATCAGTAGTGTTAGCAGCATCAGTAGTGTTAGCAGCATCAGTAGAGTCAGCAGCATCAGTAGTGTTAGCAGCATCAGTAGTGTTAGCAGCATCAGTAGAGTCAGCAGCATCAGTAGTGTTAGCAGCATCAGTAGTGTCAGCAGAATCAGCAGTGTTAGCAGCATCAGTAGTGTTAGCAGAATCAGTAGAGTCAGTAGCATCAGTAGTGTCAGCAGAATCAGCAGTGTTAGCAGCATCAGTAGTGTTAGCAGCATCAGTAGAGTCAGCAGCATCAGTAGAGTCAGCAGCATCAGTAGTGTTAGCAGCATCAGTAGTGTTAGCAGCATCAGTAGAGTCAGCAGCATCAGTAGTATCAGCAGCATCAGTAGAGTCAGCAGCATCAGTAGTGTTAGCAGCATCAGTAGTGTTAGCAGCATCAGTAGTATCAGCAGCATCAGTAGAGTCAGCAGCATCAGTAGTGTCAGCAGCATCAGTAGTGTTAGCAGCATCAGTAGTGGTTAGCAGCATCAGTAGTGTTAGCAGCATCAGTAGTGTTAGCAGCATCAGTAGTATCAGCAGCATCAGTAGAGTCAGCAGCATCAGTAGTGTCAGCAGCATCAGTAGTGTTAGCAGCATCAGTAGTGTTAGCAGCATCAGTAGTGTTAGCAGCATCAGTAGTGTCAGCAGCATCAGTAGTGTTAGCAGCATCAGTAGTATCAGCAGCATCAGTAGTGTTAGCAGCATCAGTAGTGTTAGCAGCATCAGTAGAGTTAGCAGCATCAGTAGTGTTAGCAGCATCAGTAGTATCAGCAGCATCAGTAGTGTTAGCAGCATCAGTAGTGTTAGCAGCATCAGTAGTGTCAGCAGCATCAGTAGAGTTAGCAGCATCAGTAGTGTTAGCAGCATCAGTAGTATCAGCAGCATCAGTAGAGTCAGCAGCATCAGTAGTGTTAGCAGCATCAGTAGTGTTAGCAGCATCAGTAGTATCAGCAGCATCAGTAGAGTCAGCAGCATCAGTAGTGTCAGCAGCATCAGTAGAGTCAGCAGCATCAGTAGAGTCAGCAGCATCAGTAGAGTCAGCAGCATCAGTAGTGTTAGCAGCATCAGTAGAGTCAGCAGCATCAGTAGTGTTAGCAGCATCAGTAGAATCAGCAGCATCAGTAGTGTCAGCAGCATCAGTAGAATCAGCAGCATCAGTAGTGTTAGCAGCATCAGTAGAGTCAGCAGCATCAGTAGAGTCAGCAGCATCAGTAGTGTTAGCAGCATCAGTAGAATCAGCAGCATCAGTAGTGTTAGCAGCATCAGTAGAGTCAGCAGCATCAGTAGAGTCAGCAGCATCAGTAGTGTTAGCAGCATCAGTAGTGTTAGCAGCATCAGTAGAGTCAGCAGCATCAGTAGAGTCAGCAGCATCAGTAGTGTCAGCAGCATCAGTAGTGTTAGCAGCATCAGTAGTGTTAGCAGCATCAGTAGTGTCAGCAGCATCAGTAGAGTCAGCAGCATCAGTAGTGTTAGCAGAATCAGCAGTGTTAGCAGCATCAGTAGTATCAGCAGCATCAGTAGAGTCAGCAGCATCAGTAGAGTTAGCAGCATCAGCAGTGTTAGCAGCATCAGTAGTATCAGCAGCATCAGTAGAGTCAGCAGCATCAGTAGTGTTAGCAGCATCAGTAGTATCAGCAGCATCAGTAGTGTTAGCAGCATCAGTAGTGTTAGCAGCATCAGTAGTGTCAGCAGCATCAGTAGAGTCAGCAGCATCAGTAGTGTCAGCAGAATCAGCAGTGTCAGCAGCATCAGTAGAGTTAGCAGCATCAGTAGAGTCAGCAGCATCAGTAGTGTTAGCAGCATCAGTAGTGTTAGCAGAATCAGTAGAGTCAGTAGCATCAGTAGTGTCAGCAGAATCAGCAGTGTTAGCAGCATCAGTAGTGTTAGCAGCATCAGTAGTGTTAGCAGCATCAGTAGTGTTAGCAGCATCAGTAGTGTTAGCAGCATCAGTAGTATCAGCAGCATCAGTAGAGTCAGCAGCATCAGTAGAGTCAGCAGAATCAGCAGTGTTAGCAGCATCAGTAGTGTTAGCAGCATCAGTAGTGTCAGCAGCATCAGTAGTGTCAGCAGCATCAGTAGTGTCAGCAGCATCAGTAGTGTTAGCAGCATCAGTAGTGTTAGCAGCATCAGTAGTGTTAGCAGCATCAGTAGTGTTAGCAGCATCAGTAGTGTCAGCAGCATCAGTAGTGTTAGCAGCATCAGTAGTGTCAGCAGCATCAGTAGTGTTAGCAGCATCAGTAGTGTCAGCAGCATCAGTAGTGTCAGCAGCATCAGTAGAGTCAGCAGAATCAGTAGTGTTAGCAGCATCAGTAGTGTTAGCAGCATCAGTAGTGTCAGCAGCATCAGTAGTGTCAGCAGCATCAGTAGTGTCAGCAGCATCAGTAGTGTTAGCAGCATCAGTAGTGTCAGCAGCATCAGTAGTGTCAGCAGCATCAGTAGTGTTAGCAGAATCAGTAGTGTTAGCAGCATCAGTAGTGTTAGCAGCATCAGTAGTGTCAGCAGCATCAGTAGTGTCAGCAGCATCAGTAGTGTTAGCAGCATCAGTAGTGTTAGCAGAATCAGTAGTGTTAGCAGCATCAGTAGTGTTAGCAGCATCAGTAGTGTCAGCAGCATCAGTAGTGTCAGCAGCATCAGTAGTGTTAGCAGCATCAGTAGTGTTAGCAGCATCAGTAGTGTCAGCAGCATCAGTAGAGTCAGCAGAATCAGTAGTGTTAGCAGCATCAGTAGTGTTAGCAGCATCAGTAGTGTCAGCAGCATCAGTAGTGTCAGCAGCATCAGTAGTGTTAGCAGCATCAGTAGTGTCAGCAGCATCAGTAGTGTCAGCAGAATCAGTAGTGTCAGGAGCATCAGTAGTGTCAGCAGCATCAGTAGTGTCAGCAGCATCAGTAGTGTTAGCAGCATCAGTAGAGTCAGCAGCATCAGTAGTGTTAGCAGCATCAGTAGAATCAGAAAAATTAGAATCAGCAGAATTAGTAGTATCAGCAGAATCAGTAGTAGAATCAGCAAAATTAGTAGTATCAGTAGAATCAGTAGAATCAGGAAAATCAGTAGTGTCAGCAGAATCAGTAGAATTAGCAAAATTAGTAGTGTCAGCAGAATCAGCAGTAGAATCAGCAAAATTAGTAGTATCAGTAGAATCAGCAGTAGAATCAGCAGAATCGGTAGAATCGGCATCAGAATCACAATCATCATCATAATGAGTAGAATGAGCAGCAGAATCAGTAGAATCATCAACAGCAGAATCAGTTGAATCATCAACAGCAGTAGTAGAATCAACAACATAATCATTGAATCAGCAGCTGAATCAGTAGAATCGTCATCAACAGCATAATCAATAGAATTGATAGAATCAGCATCAGCAGTAGAATCATCACCACTCTCATTTTCCTATCATAACAATAATAACATCTGTAAAATTCAGCATAATCACTATCCTGTTCACGACTGACTCGCATGCTCTAGGTGTCTGTGTGTGTCTGTGTGCCCGTGTGTGTGTGTCTGTGTATGTCTGTGTGTGTGTGTATGTCTGTGTGTGTCTGTGTGCCCGTGTGTGTATGTCTGTGTGTGTATATGTCGATGTGTGTGCGTGTGTGTTTGTGTGCGTGCGTGTGTGTGTCTGTGTGTGTGTCTGTGTGCCCGTGTGTGTGTGTCTATGTGTCTGTGTGTGTGTGTTCCCGTGTGTGTATATGTCGATGTGTGTGCGTGTGTCTGTGTGTGTGTGAGGGAGCGGCATCGTAGAGGTTAGTGTGCTGCGCTAGGAACCAGACCGCCCTAGTTCGATTCCTGGTGCGGTGTGTAAACATTACTACTGGGGAGACAAAGGCGGCCGGGCGTGGTGTTGGCCACCCACCCTCTCGTGTGCCTTGCCGGCCTTCATAGGTGCTCGCTAACAGCACTTGCCCTCACAGTCTGTTAAGGCTATACGGGAGAGCTTTGTCTTGTGCGTGTGTCTGTGTGTGCGTGTCTGTGTGTGCGTGTATGTGTGTGTATGTGTGTGAGTGTGCGTGTGTCTCTGTGTGTGTATGTGTGTGTAAGTACGCGTGTGTGTGTGTGTCTGTGTCTCCGTGTATGTGTGTGTGTCTGTGTCTCCGTGTATGTGTGTGAGTGTGTGTACATGTGTGTGTACGTGCGCGTGTGTCTGTGTGTTCGTGTCTGTGCGTGTCTGTGTGTGTGTGTATGTCTGTGTGCGTCTGACCCGCACGCTCTCGCTGGAGATGGAGAAGGCGCGCTGCCCCTGCTGCTGCCCCTGCTGCTGCCCCTGCTGCTGCCCCTGCTGCTGCCCTGTGCAGTCTCTGGCCAGCACGTGCTCGCACGCCGAGCGGGACGAGAAGAAGCGGCCGTCGAACGACCTGAAGTGCGCGTGACCCGTCACCAGACACTCGCCTGCGCGCGTCGCGGGCGTGGGGAGGAGGAGGAGGGGGGGGGAGCGTGCGGTGCGTAGTAAACATCGTCACTGGGGAGACAAAGGCGGCCGGGCGTGGTGCTGGCCAAACACCCCCTCGTGTGCCGTGTCGGCCTTCGTACAGTGAGGAAAAAAATGTAAATCAATTTATAACATTTTTGAGGTGCGTTTTTCTGGAATTTTTTGTTGTTATTCTGTCTCTCACTGTTCAAATAAACCTACCATTAAAATTATAGACTGATAATTTATTTGTCAGTGGGCAAACGTACAAAATCAGCAGGGGATCAAATACTTTTTTCCCTCACTGTAGGTGGTATTCGCTAACAGCACTTGCCCCAACAGTCTGTTAAGGCTCTATGGGGGATCTTTGTCTTTGTGTGTGTGCGTGTCTACCTTCACACGTGCGGTTCGTGCAAATCCATGTTCCGCCCTTGCAGATGCTGTGATAAAACAAAATCACCGTAATCATTACCATCAACATCGCCATCATTACCGTTAACACCCACCACCATAACCATCGCCATCACCGTCTTCGCCATCTCACCATCAACATCACGAACATGCTGTGTATTTGGAGTTTGCGTGTCTCGCTCTCTCATCATCACGGTGGCTATGAGATGTTAACTACCTCGCCAGGTCTACAGGAGGTAGTGGGTTCGATCCCGACCCTGACGACGCCTGCTGCTGTATATTTGGAGTTTGCGTGTCTCTCTCTCTCATCATCACGGTGGCTAGGAGATGTTAACTACCTCGGCTGGTCTACAGGAGGTCATGGGTTCGATCCCGACCCTGACGACGCCTGCTGCTGCTGTATATTTGGAGTTTACGTGTCTCTCTCTCTCTCTCATCATCACGGTGGCTAGGAGATGTTAACTACCTCTCCTGGTGTACAGGAGGTCGTGGGTTGGATCCTGACCCTGACGACGCCTGCTGCTGCTGTGTATTTGGAGTTTGCGTGTCTCTCTCATCATCACGGTGGCTAGGAGATGTTAACTACCTCGGCTGGTCTACAGGAGGTCGTGGGTTCGATCGCGACCCTGACGACGCCTGCTGCTGCTGCTGTATATTTGGCGTTTGCGTGTCTTTCCCTGTCCCCGTGGTCGCGTGGATACTTAACCGGGTCCTCCGTTTTGTCCCTCCTTCCCCCCGCACCTCCGATTAGCGTGCCTAGCTACGTACGGTGCGAAAGACGTTCAACATACATCCATGGAATCGACACGCGTTGAGAGCATTTTAGCCGCCGCTACACATTTCCACGTGATGATGATGTCCGCCGCTTCTTCGAGCTACGATTTGTGACGGCCAGGCCGCTTCTGAAATGGAGCTCTAGTCCAGCAGCTCAGTGGTGAGTTTGAGTTTTAAAAAGGCGAGGGGATACCCCCCCCCCCCCCCCCCGAGCCCCAACTCACCAGGAGTTGCAGCCCTGCTCGATCGAGAACTCCGGGGGGAAGCGTCGCCCGTTATGGAAGCACGAGCACTCCGACTCGCGCACACAGCGGCCGCCGTCCAGCAACAGGCCAGCTGTGCAGAGGGTCACGGTCGGGGTCGGGGTCAGGGTCACGGTCGGGGTCAGGGTCACGGTCAGGGTCATGGTCGGGGTCAGAGTCACGGTCGAGGTCAGGGTCGGGGTCAGGGTCACAGTCGGGGTCGAGGTCAGGGTCACGGTCGAGGTCGGGGTCACAGTCGAGGTCGGAGTCAGGGTCACGGTCGGGGTCAGGGTCATGGTCAGGGTCACGGTCGGGGTCACGGTCGAGGTCGGGATCAGGGTCACGGAGGCAGTGTTAGGGACAGGGGGAGGGTTGTGAATGGAGCAACGGTTGGGGTTAGGGTCAGGTTTAAGGTCAGGGTCAGGTCTAGGGTGAGGGTCAAGGCCAGGTCTAGGGTGAGGTTTCAAGGTGTTTGGAGTTAGCGTTTGGGCCATGTCCAGGTTTGAGTTTACATTGGGCTAACAATTAGGGTTAGGGTTGGAGTTAACAAGATGTCATCTATTTAAGACTGGAAGCAGGTGGATTGCTTCACTATTCTGGCAAATCGCCCGATGATGCTGGATGTAATTACCAGCGAAATGCCAAATTGTAAATGTTGTGGATTTACTTTTCGACAAGCCGGTGGGCTGAAGAAGTAATCAATCTGGCGCTTGTTGTTTACGTGACAAACCTCACTGGCTGTGTCGGGTGGTGGATGGTTACGACACATTTATACTGACGCGATCAAACCCGAAAATAATATTGGTCGCGAAAGCTTAGCACGTGTTAAATTGGGGCTAGGGTCAGAGTTAACATTGGGATCGTGGTTAGGGTTAACCTCGAGGTCATGGCTATTGTTGGAGTCCGGGCACGTGTTGGGGGCAGCCTCACCTGGGCACGTGCACCCATCCTGGCACGGCCCCTCGTCGCACGCCGCGTCCAACGCGTGCACGCTCTGACAGGAGCGGGGGCACGGGGGGGCGCATGCCCGGTACTCCATCCCGGGTGGGCACGCGGGGGCTGCCGGGACGAAGATACAGATGCCCAGTAGAGCCTCATCAGACTGGCCGGCCCCATCCCCTTCGCTTCACTCAATCCAACCCACCGCCCCTCCACACACGAAATAAAACGTGAATCAAACCGATCGCTCGCGTTGCCCCCCCCCACGACCCGTCCCTGGTGGCGGCTGTGGCAGTGGTGGCAGTGCTGGCAACAGCGGTGGTGGTGGTAGTGGCGGCGGCAGCGGTGACGGTGCTAGTGGTCGTGATGGCGGTGACGGCGGTGGCAGTTGTGGTGGCGGTGGCAGTTGTGGTGGCGGTGGTAGCAGTGGTGGCGGTGGCTGCGGTGGCAGTGGTGGCAGTGCTGGCAACAGCGGTGGTGGTGGTAGTGGCGGCGGCAGCGGTGACGGTGCTAGTGGTGGTGGTGGCGGTGACGGCGGTGGCAGTTGTGGTGGCGGTGGCAGTTGTGGTGGCGGTGGTGGCAGTGGTGGCGGTGGCTGCGGTGGCAGTCGTGACAGTGCTGGCAACAGCGGTGGTGGTGGTGGTGGCGGCGGCAGCGGCGACGTTGCTAGTGGTGGTGGTGGCGGTGGCGGCAGTGGGAGCGGTGGCAGTTGTGGGAGCTGTGGCACTGGTGGCAGCGATGGCAGCAGTAGCAGCGGCGGTCACTCACCGCAGCCGGCGTCCACCACCCAGCGCCCCACCGGCACCCCGCGGTGCCCGCACGCCCGCGCGTACTCCAGCAGCGCCGCGCACCCGCAGCGGGCCCCGTCGGCGGGGGGTGCCCCCTCCCTGCCGTGGCGGCCGTGGCGGCGGCGGGGAGGAGGAGGAGGGGGAGCGGAGCCCCCCGGCGAGGGGCGGCACTCGCACGCGTCGCGCTCACACGCCGCGGCAAACGGCTCCGGGTCGAGCCACGGAGCGCAGAGCGCCGGAGCCGCTGGCGGGCGCAGCCGCGAGCAGAGGGAGGTCACCGTCTGTTGGGGGGACGGGGGGGGGGGTGCGGCGTGGGTGGCGAGCGACAGGGTCAGCAGGGGGTGTGGGTCAGGGTTCAGGGTGTGGGTCAGGGTTCAGGGTGTGGGTCAGGGTTGGGGGTGTGGGTCAGGGTGAGGGGTGTGGGTCAGGGTTCAGGGTGTGGGTCAGAGTTAGGGGGTCAGGGTGTGGGTCAGGGTGGGGGTCAGGGTTCAGGGTGTGGGTCAGGGGTGGGTCAGGGTTCAGGGTGTGGCTCAGGGTTGGGGGTGTGAGTCAGGGGTCAGGGTGGGGGTCAGGGTTAGGGGTGTGGGTCAGGGTTCAGGGTGTGGCTCAGGGTTGGGGGTGTGGTGTGTTGTCTGTGGTTGTTGTCTGTTGTTGTTGTCTGTTGTTGTTGTCTGTTGATGTTGTTGTTGTTTACCGTGGCGTCTGCGGCCGTGCACTCGTGGCTGGGTGGCAGTGCCCGCACGCAGCCTCCCTGCAGCGAGTCCCGCGCCCAGCTCTGGGCGAACTCGTACGGGTCCTCAGAGACGAACCCTGCGGGGGGGGGGCACGGGGGGGGGGGCACGAGGAGGGGGGGCACGGGGAGGGGGGCACGGGGAGGGGGGCACGGGGAGGGGGGCACAGGGTGGGGGGGGGGCAGCAAGGAGTGAGGCACACTAAAGGTACAGACACAGTCAACAGATATAGGGGGGTGAGTGTTGATGTGTAAAGAGACACGGATATACAAGTTACATGGGCAATGTTAGTCTATATGGACAATGTTAGTCTATGCGGGCAATGTTAGTCTATGGGCAATGTTAGTCTATGCGGGCAATGTTAGTCTATGGACAATGTTAGTCTATATAGGCAATGTTAGTCTATGGGCAATGTTAGTCTATGCGGGCAATGTTAGTCTATGGACAATGTTAGTCTATATAGGCAATGTTAGTCTATATAGGCAACGTTAGTCCATGTGCAATGTTAGTCTATGGGCAATGTTAGTCTATGCGGGCAATGTTAGTCTATGGGCAATGTTAGTCTATGCGGGCAATGTTAGTCTATATAGGCAATGTTAGTCTATATAGGCAACGTTAGTCCATGGGCAATGTTAGTCTATATGGGCATTGTTAGTCTATGGGCATTGTTAGTTCTAGATTTGAAGTTATCGTGACTGCAAGGATTCATACTCTTTGGGGGTTTTTTCGGTAAAGTCACGTAGGTAAAAAATTAAAATAGATTAAATCACGACGTTTCAGGCGCAACACAAGCGTCCTTCTTCAGGCGGGGACAACGTAGCGAAAGCACAACCGCTTAAGTGTGTCTCAGAGATGGCTGTGACGAGGGATTACATAGTCGCTGAGGCTTTGTGATGTAGATGGCAGAAGTAGATAAGCAAGCTAAGATTATGCAGCCTTTTTGTTATTTTGTTAGGGCAGGATAGGAGGTGCAAAAGCTAAAGAAGACCAAAAATCAGCGTGTGGTAATGGTGATGGTAGTGTGTGAAGCAGGGGGTAACGGGCTGGGAATATGGATATGTTTATGAAAATTAAATCTAAACTGGCTGTCTAGCAGTAAACTGCACGGCAGCTCAAGTTTAACTTGGTTAATTACATCATTCCACTAAATTTCGATTTAAAGCTTTCGTGACTGCAGGGATTCATCTTCTTGTTTCTTTCGGTAAAGTCACGTAGAAGGGAAGTAATAAAATAATAAAAATAAAACATAATAAAACAATTCTCACGACGTTTCGTAGCCGAAACGTCGTGAGAATTGTTTTATTATGTTTTATTTTTATTATTTTATTACTTCCCTTCTACGTGACTTTACCGAAAGAAACAAGAAGATGAATCATTCCACTAATTGCTCAATTTGAATCCGTGTGGGTTGAAGTTATGTCTATGTTTGTATATCTGGATGGCTTCATGGACAAATCTTTGGTAGTATCCAGGAGGCTTGCAGAGTACCTTGGTATCGGAGAACACAATGTCATGAGAACCAGCAGTATTATAACAGTGGTCAGCCAGGGCCGAAGAATTTGTTCTGCCATGTTTCAAATCCGACTTGTACTCGCGAATGCGATCAGAAATATGTCGTATCGTCTCCCCGATATAACAATCCCCACAAGTGCAACTCAGTTTGTAGACACCAGGGTACTGTAAGTCAGGAAGGACATCCTTTACGGATGGGATCAGATCACGGATCTTGTGTACTGTACTGAATCGGACCTGGATCTTGTGTTTGTTTAGAATTTAGGAAATGTTTTTGGTAACGCCTGCTATGTATGGCAATGTAATGATTTTGATCGGAGTCTCAGGGGGTTGTTTCTCCACAGTGGGAGAAACAGCCTGGCGGATAGCACGGTCTGAGTATCCGTTCATCTTGAGGGCACGGTGTACATGTTCCAATTTACTGGCCAGGTGGTGTTGGTCAGAGATGCAGTGGGCCCTATGGTATAGTGTTTTGATGCGGGAATTCTTTTGTGCCGGATGGTGGTGGGAATCAGGCTTCAAGTAGGAATCTGTGTGGGTGGCCTTCCTGTACACAGAATGTCCCAACGAGCCATTGGGCCTCCTCTCAAACAGAACATTCATGAATGGTAGCTTACCATCGTACTCCACTTCCATGGTGAATTTTATGGATGGGTGCATGGAGTTGATGTGATCTAGAAATTGGTTCAATGCTGGGAGGCCATGTGGCCAAATGACGAAAGTATCATCCACGTATCTCTTCCACAGGGAAGGACGTAGAGTGGATGTCTGGATGGCGTTTGTTTCAAATTTCTCCATGAAAACATTGGCTATCACTGGTGACAAAGTGGAACCCATAGGGGTGCCCTCATTTTGTTTGTAGAAGGTACCATTCCAGGTGAAATACGTGTTGGTGAGGCAGTGCCCAACCAGCGCAGGGACATCAGGGTTCAGTCCATGTTGGACTAAGTCTTCAATTATTGCTATGGTGTCAAGCACTGGAATCTTGGTGAACAGAGAGACCACATTAAAGCTGACGAGGACATCATCAGGGGACAGTACAATGTCCTTGACAAGAGAGACCAAGTGAGTTGAGTACTGCTGAGGTGGTCTTGCCAGTGAAGGGAAGTAGAGTATCCGACAGAAAATGGGCCAGTTTGTAGGTAGGCGAGTTGATCGTGGACACGATGGGCCGTAGTAGGGTACCTTCTTTATGGATCTTGGGAAGCCCATAGAATCTGGGAGGTCTCGCAGCCGAGGGTTTCAGGGAGAGCAGTTTGATTGGTTCAATTAGGGAAGTCGAACGAGTGATGATCTTGTTGGTTTTAGTAGTTAGGGTATTACTCGGATCTGTATTGATTGTGGATTAGCTGCCATCATTGAGCAAGTCCTGGATTTTATTGTTGCATGAGTTTTTATCCATGATGACAGTGGCATTGCCATTGTCGGCCGAGAGGATGACTATGTCATCCTTCTTTTTTCAATTTGCGAGTTCAGAACGCTCGTTTTTGCTGATGTTGCTAACGGGGTTCTTCGCATTCTTGAGGATAGTGGCTATTTCAGCGTGTTCGTCTCTATGGGCAATGTGTTTTTTTTCAGTGTTTTTATTACAAAAAGATTGCGGGGCCACGGCATTCCCACGCCCAGAGACCCACAGTAGCAGGACGCAAACAAATCCGCGGAGATCCACTGGGGCGCAGGGGAACCACGCGGAAGGGGAAGGAACGAAGGGAAGTAGTGGGGGCGGGGGGGGGGGCAACCTGTGGGGACCTCCGCTAGAGGGGAACTTCAAAGGCTTTGGACAATGATAGCCCATGGGCAGTGTTGAGTCTATGGGCAGTGTTGAGTCTATGGGCAGTGTTGAGTCTATGGGCAGTGTTGAGTCTATGGGCAGTGTTGAGTCTATGGGCAGTGCTGAGTCTATGGGCAGTGTTGAGTCTATGGGCAGTGTTGAGTCTATGGGCAGTGTTGAGTCTATGGGCAGTGCTGAGTCTATGGGCAGTGTTGAGTCTATGGGCAGTGTTGAGTCTATGGGCAGTGTTGAGTCTATGGGTAGTGTTGAGTCTATGGGCAGTGTTGAGTCTATGGGTAGTGTTGAGTCCATGGGCAGTGTTGAGTCTATGGGCAGTGTTGAGTCCATGGGCAGTGTTGATTCTATGGGCAGTGTTGAGTCCATGGGCAGTGTTGAGTCCATGGGCAGTGTTGAGTCTATGGGCAGTGTTGAGTCTATGGGTAGTGTTGAGTCTATGGGCAGTGTTGAGTCTATGGGTAGTGTTGAGTCCATGGGCAGTGTTGAGTCTATGGGCAGTGTTGAGTCCATGGGCAGTGTTGATTCTATGGGCAGTGTTGAGTCCATGGGCAGTGTTGAGTCCATGGGCAGTGTTGAGTCTATGGGCAGTGTTGAGTCTATGGGTAGTGTTGAGTCTATGGGCAGTGTTGAGTCTATGGGCAGTGTTGAGTCTATGGGCAGTGTTGAGTCTATGGGCAGTGTTGAGTCTATGGGTAGTGTTGAGTCTATGGGCAGTGTGAGTCTATGGGCAGTGTTGAGTCCTATGGGCAGTGTTGAGTCTATGGGCAGTGTTGAGTCTATGGGTCAGTGTTGAGTCTATGGGTAGTGTGAGTCTATGGGCAGTGTTGAGTCTATGGGCAGTGTTGAGTCTATGGGCAGTGTTGAGTCTATGGGCAGTGTTGAGTCTATGGGCAGTGTTGAGTCTATGGGCAGTGTTGAGTCTATGGGCAGTGTTGAGTCTATGGGCAGTGTTGAGTCTATGGGCAGTGTTGAGTCTATGGCAGTGTTGAGTCTATGGGCAGTGTTGAGTCTATGGGCAGTGTTGAGTCTATGGGCAGTGTTGAGTCTATGGGCAGTGTTGAGTCTATGGGCAGTGTTGAGTCTATGGGCAGTGCTGAGTCTATGGGCAGTGTTGAGTCTATGGGCAGTGCTGAGTCTATGGGCAGTGTTGATTCTATGGGCAGTGTTGAGCTATGGGCAGTGTTGAATCTATGGGCAGTGTTGAGTCTGTGGGTAGTGTTGAGTCTATGGGCAGTGTTGAGTCTATGGGCAGTGTTGAGTCTGTGGGTAGTGTTGAGTCTATGGGCAGTGTTGAGTCTATGGGCAGTGTTGAGTCTATGGGCAGTGTTGAGTCTATGGGCAGTGTTGAGTCTATGGGCAGTGTTGAGTCTATGGGCAGTGTTGAGTCTATGGGCAGTGCTGAGTCTATGGGCAGTGTTGAGTCTATGGGCAGTGTTGAGTCTATGGGCAGTGCTGAGTCTATGGGCAGTGCTGAGTCTATGGGCAGTGTTGAGTCTATGGGCAGTGTTGAGTCTATGGTGCAGTGTTGAGTCTATGAGCAGTGTTGAGTCTATGGGCAGTGCTGAGTCTATGAGCAGTGTTGAGTCTATGGGCAGTGCTGAGTCTATGGGCAGTGTTGAGTCTATGGGCAGTGTTGAGTCTATGGTACAGTGTTGAGTCTATGTGCAGTGTTGAGTCTATGGTGCAGTGTTGAGTCTATGGGTAGTGTTGAGTCTATGGGCAGTGCTGAGTCTATGAGCAGTGTTGAATCTATGGGCAGTGTTGAGTCTATGGTGCAGTGTTGATTCTATGGGCAGTGTTGAGTCTATGGTGCAGTGTTGATTCTATGGGCAGTGTTGAGTCTATGGGCAGTGTTGAGTCTATGGTGCAGTGTGGAGTCTATGGTGCAGTGTTGATTCTATGGGCAGTGTTGAATCTATGGGCAGTGCTGAGTCTATGGTGCAGTGTTGATTCTATGGGCAGTGTTGAGTCTATGGGCAGTGTTGAGTCTATGAGCAGTGTTGAGTCTATGGGCAGTGTTGAGTCTATGAGCAGCGTTGAGTCTATGGGCAGTGCTGAGTCTATGGTGCAGTGTTGATTCTATGGGCAGTGTTGAGTCTATGGGCAGTGTTGATTCTATGGGCAGTGTTGAGTCTATGGGCAGTGCTGAGTCTATGGGCAGTGTTGAGTCTATGGGCAGTGCTGAGTCTATGAGCAGTGCTGAGTCTATGGGGAGTGCTGAGTCTATGAGCAGTGTTGAGTCTATGGGCAGTGTTGAGTGTATGGGCAGTGCTGAGTCTATGGGCAGTGTTAGTGACATTACGAACATTAATTTCCCGTAGCCCACGTCGCGGCCGTTGGCGGATACCAACAACGGTAACTATTGTCATTATTTCCAACGCTCGTCGTCATCATCGTCGTCGTCGTCGTAATCATCGTCACCATCATTGTCGTCGCCTTCATCATCGTCATCGTCGTCGTCATCATCGTCACCATCATTGTCGTCGCCATCGTCATCATCATCGTCATCATTGTCGTCGTCATCATCATCGTTATCATCATCATCGTCGTCGTCATCGTTATCATCATCATCGTCGTGGTCATCGTCATCATCATCGTCACCATCATTGTCGCCATCGTTATCATCATCATCGTCGTCGTCATCGTTGTCATCGTCATCATCGTGGTCATCGTCATCATCGTCGTCGTCATCGGCCCCCACCTTCCTGCGTGCGCAGGTCGTCGTAGGCCCGCCCGTTGCCGTCCCCGCACAGGCCGCACGTGGCGTTGGCGAGTCGCGGCGCCAGCAGCAGCGACAGCGTCGGCCTCCCCGGGACCCTCGCATCCCCCTCCTCCATCCCCCCCTCCTCCTCCTCCACCCCCTCCTCCTCCACCCCCTCATCCTCCATCCCCTGGACGGACGTGACCCTGGTGCCCGTCTCCAGGTGCGCGCTCACGCCCAGCGCGTCGCTGTGAAGCAGCAAGCCGCCGCCTCGCCTCTCCACGAACACCCCCGAGGCGGCTAGAGGCACGGGGGACCTGGGGGGTCGGTGGTGGTGGTGGCGGTGGTTGTGGCGGTGGTGGTGGTGGCGGTGGTGGTGGTGGCGGTGGTGTTGGCGGTGGTGGTGGACGGGTCAGGGGGGAGAGGGGGAGGTCAGGACCACGGGGTCGCCGTGGCTACTGCGTAGCGATGGAAGTTCCACGATGGGTCCAGCCTGATGAAAGTGTCCGTCGTCGTAACAGAGAAGACACTGCAGCCCGTGTTGACGACGATGAAGCCGGATTCTAGTTGTGTCTTTGTCCCACTGCCGCTGCCCGTTGGGATAGTGGGCTATGCTGATGAGTCCCAATTGGGATGAAGCCGGATTCTAGTTGTGTGTCTGCTCAACTCTGGAGTCGGTGGTTCTGAACGACACCGCACGTTCAGTTATTTTCATCTGGTGGTCTGGAATAGGCTGTGTGAGTGACCATGGGTGTTTGTGGGTGAGCGGTGGTGCAGCGGTTAGCGCTACGCTGCGCTACGAACCTGGCGACCCGGGTTCGATTCCCGCTCACGGCCAACACCGGTGACGATTATTTGAACCGGTCCTAGGCCTCTCCTAGGTCGACTCGGCCTCAAATTAGTATATGGTGCGATGTGTAAACATCGCCACTGAGGAGACAAAGGCGGCCGGGCGTGGTGTTGGCCACCCCCTCGTGTGCCGTGTCGGCCTTCATAGGTGCTACTCGCTAACAGCACTTGCCCCTACAGTCTGTTACAGGCTACACGGGGGATCTTTGTCTTTTGTAGGTAGGTGCGTGGGTGAGTGAGCGAGTGAGCGAGTCGGTGGTTCCATAGCACAACACGACCACACCTTCAGTTCCTTTGAGCTGGTGGTTTGGACAAGGCTGAGAGCGTTTGTACACGCAATGCAGCACATTCTGTGCGTGTGTGCGTGCGTGTGTGTGTGTGCGCGTGCGTGTGTGTGCGCGTGTGTGTGCGTGTGTGTGCGCGTGTGTGTGTGGGCGCGTGCGTGCGTGTGTGTGTGCGTGTGTGTGTGTGCGTGCGTGTGTGTGCGTGTGTGTGTGCGTGTGCGTCTTGTTCACTGCGCTCTTGCCAGTCAGGACCAACATCATCGGAACCTGCTGCTGACGACCCATTTGCTGCTGATGATGACTCACAATGCTGATGCTGCTGTTAATGATGCTGCTCATGACACTGATACTGCTGATGACACTGATGCTGTTGACGATGACTCACAATGCTGATGATAATGATGCTGCTCATGACACTGATGCTGCTGATGATGATTCACAATGCTGATGCTGCTGACAATGATGATGCTGTTGATGATGACGACTCTGACGATGCTGATGGATGCTAATGATGCTGCTGCTGTTGATGATGACATCTCACGCGTGTCCGTCCAGGATGCAGGTTCCATTGGTGAAGAGTTGCAGCTCCAGGGCCTGGGCCGGAACGTAGAGCGACAATCCACGCGCCTCTCCATCCTCGTAGCTCACTGTGGCGGGGGAGAGTGAGGCGGGAGAGAGAGAGGCGGGGGAGAGAGAGAGGCGGGGGAGAGAGGCAGGGGAGAGAGAGGCAGGAGAGCGACGATATTGTGGGCCGACTCCTTTTGCGAACGGTGGTTGAAAAAAAAAGAAACCCCAACCCCATACCGGGCTGGCACGGTTCGGGTAAGCCGGTTGAAGCGAGTGTGCGTGCATGCGTGCGTGTGTGTGTGCGTGCGTGTGTGCGTGCGTGTGTGCGTGCGTGTGTGCGTGCGAGTGTGCGTGTGTGCGTGCGAGCCAGCGCTCACCCAGCAGGGAGAAGGAGTTCCCCGCGCAGTCTCCCGCCAGCTGGTAGCTGCACACGCCGGAGAAGTCGTACACGCTGCCGTCGAACGTGTGCACCCAGCCGGGGCCGAACAGGCTGCACCGCACGGGCCGCTCGTCGCCTTCTCCTGCGCCAAACACAAAGTTCCCCGTGTAGCCTCAACAGACTGCTGGGGCAAGTGCTGTTCGTAGCGAGGAGCGGCGCCTATGAAGGCCGGCACTGTGGGGCACGGATGGGGGTGGGTTGGCCAGCACCACGCCCGGCCGCCTTTGTCTCCTGCACCATCATCATTAGAAGCGGCAACAGCATCATCGGCACCCAGCATCAGGGAGGGAGGGGGGCGAGGGAGGGGGGCGAGGGAGGGGGGCGAGGGAGGGAGGCGAGGGAGGGAGGGAGGCGAGAGAGGGAGGGAGGTATGGGGGCGAGGGAGGGAGGGAGGGAGGGGGGCGAGTATTTTGGTTGGGTTCGGGGTCACCACGGCGCAGTTGCCGGATGCGCGCGGCTCCGTGTGGCGCCACGCAGGGAGGAGGAGGGCGGTGTGCGTGCGACAGGGTGCCCGGAGCGCGGGTGGTGGTGGTGGTGGTGGTGCTGCTGTTGTTGCTGCTGCTGCTGTTTTGTCTTCGTGCCAGTGAGTCACAGTCCCTATGGCTCGCGGGAATTCCTGTCCCAGGGGCAGAGACCTCTTCCCACCACCCCACCCATCCCGACATCCACCACCACGACCACCACCCCACCCATCCCGACATCCACCACCAAGACCAGCCCTGCCCCCACGTCTTACTGGACATCTTAAAAGCTCTTCGAATTCCTCCAGTATGGATACATATCCTGATTCTTCTTCGTCTTCCCTTTGTCACGATGACAATGGTCAGGCAATGCTCGGGCATCGTCATCATCGTTGTCATCATCGGCATCATCATCGTCGTCATCATCATCGGTGTCATCATCATCATTGGCATCATCGTTGTTATCACCGTCATCATCGTCGTCGTCATCATCATCGGTGTCATCATCATCATCGGCATCATCGTTGTCATCATCATCATCGGCATCATCGTTGTCATCATCATCATCATCGGTGTCACATCATCGGCATCGTTGTCATCATCATCATCGTCCTCATCATTGGCATCATCATCGTCGTCGTCATCATCGCCGTCGTATTAATTGTTGTCATCATCATCAGAGATGAGCAGCTACCAATAACATCAGCAGTGTGATCGTGATGATGATGTTGATGACGATGATGTTGTTGAATGGTAATTATCGGTGGGCGACATCACCATCATCATCATCACCGTCATCATCACCGTCATCACATGCATCATCACATTCATCATCATGATCACCGTCATCATCATCACCGTCATGATCATCATCACCGTCATCATCATCACTGTCATCATCACCGTCATCACATGCATCATCACATTCATCTTCATGATCACCGTCATCATCATCACTGTCATCATCACCGTCATCACATGCATCATCACTGTCATTATCATGATCACTGTCATCATCATCACCGTCATCATCACCGTCATCACATGCATCATCACATTCATCTTCATGATCACCGTCATCATCATCACCGTCATCATCACCGTCATCACATGCATCATCACATTCATCATCATGATCACCGTCATCATCATCGTCATCATCACCGCCATCACATGGATCATCACCGTCATCATCATGATCACCGTCATCATCACCGTCATCATCATCACTGTCATCACCGTAATCATCACCCTCATCACAGTACCGCCTGGATCTTTGTGTCATTCAGGAGGTCCGGTGGACCGGCTCTGGCTCCTGCCACCATGAGAGGTGGACATTCCTCTACTCGGGGCAGGAGACTTTCAAACAACAGGGTGTGGCTCTTCTTCTGAATAAAAGAATGAAGGGGGCGTGGCAGCGTGGCGGTGAGGTGTGGGAAGCTGTAAGCCCCAGGCTACTTTGGGCTCGCCTTCCCATGAACCGGAGGCGAGGAGTGGTGGTCGTGGTTACTTATGCCCCCACCGAAGACCAACATCCATGGAGGGATGCAGGCAAAGCCGATTAGTCAGATGCCTTCTATGACCTCCTGTCACAGGTGCTGGCTAAAGAGTACCGGGGAATTTCCATTTGGTACAGATACAATGGGAGGCTGATCGATGCCCGAGTGCAGTCAAGGGATGGCTCTCTATTGGTCAACCACGTTATGTATGCCGATGATTTGGTAATTGCTGCTCATTCACACACAACTCCCAATCGGTGATGGGGCAGTTGTAGAGAGAGTGGAGAGTTTCCCATACCTGGACAGTGTGCTCATGACCGGCTCCGGTTTAACAGCAGAGGTCTCACTCCGAATCAGTCGAGCGGCAATATCTTTTCATCGGTTGCGTAACGCTGTGTGGAAGCTACTTGGTCTGTCGCTCCGCACGAAGCTTCAGGTCTTCTCGGCCACGGTCATTCCCTCCCTTTCTCTACGCTTGTGAAACGTGGACCCCCCCTAATGGAACATCTCCACCGGTTAGAAACATTTAGGCTGGCCTGCCTACGATAAATCCTGGGTGTAACCAGGCTGGATTGTGTGAAGAGCTCACAAATCCTTGAAATATCTGGGCAAAGTCCCATCGGTGAGCTCCTCCGGCAGGCAAGGCTGCGTTGGCTGGGTCATGTCGCCCACATGCCCAGCCACCGCATGCTCAAACAGCTTTTGTTCGGCCGGATAGAGGGGGCTAAATGGGCATGGCACGGGCTAGAGATGGAGTGATGTGGTACAGGAGGACGTGGAGCTGAGTGGACTTGCCGATGACTGGTACCAGCGGTGTCAACATCGGCCTCAGTGGAGGAGGCTCGTGAAGAACGCTACTGGGCAGTTGGAGGCAGTCGCCCTCCAACAACAACGGAGGGCGGAGGAGCGACGCTCACAACAACGAGCGGAGCGCCGGGTGGCTAAAGCACAGCAAGTCGGCACAGTAGGGGGCACAGGTGGTGCATCAGCCAATCATCTCAGTCACTCGACCTGTGACCTCCTGCCAGTGGGCGTTCGACACTTCACGTGGCCTCAAGGTGCACATGGCCTGGCACAAGCGTCGTGGTGACGTCACCGCCACTTAGTGGCGAATGGCGGTTGTTGTTGTTGTGTGAGTGTTTGAGTGACTGCGTGTATGAGTGTGTGAGTGTCTGAGTGAGTGGGGAGCGGTAGTGTAGTGGTTAGCGCGCTGCGCTATGAACCCGGCGATCCAGGTTGGAATCCCGCTCACAGCCACCAACGCCAGTGACGATTATCCGCACCGGTCCTGGGTCTCCCCTCGGTCGACTCAGCCTCAAATGAGTACCTGGTACGGTGTGTAACGTCGCCACTGGGGAGACAAAGGCGGCCGGGCGTGGTGCTGGCCACCCACCCCTCGTGTGCCGTGCCGGCCTTCAAAGGTGCTCGCTAACAGCACTTGCCCCAACAGTCTGTTCAGGCTATACGGGGGACCTTTGTCTTTGTGTGAGTTATTGAGGACCGAGCAGGAATTGAAACTTGGTAAAGATAAATAAACAGAGCGACAACTGACAAAGGCCCCCCGTGTAGCCTACGTGGACTGTTGAGCCAAGTGCTGATAGCGAACACAAACTTTTGCCAACACACAGACACAGACAAACCAGATACAAAGACGAAGATCCCCCGTATAGCCTCTAAAATACTGTTGGGGCAAGTGCTGCTGGCGAGTAGCACCTATGAAAGCCAACATGCACACACAGACAAGACATTTGCCAAGCTAAAGCTTCCCCATCAATAATTACGTAACAGACTGTTGGGGCAAGTGCTGTTCGCTAGTGCCTGTTCAGACCCGGCACGGCACACGCGGGGGGGTGGTGGTGGTGGTGGGGGTGGTGGTGGTGATGGTGCTGGTAATGGTGGTGGTGATGGTGGTGGTAATGGTGGTGGTGATGGTGGTGGTGGTAATGGTGGTGGTGATGGTGGTGGTAATGGTGGTGGTGATGGTGGTGGTAATGGTGGTGGTGGTGGTGGTGGGGGTTGTGGTGGTGATGGTGGTGGTGATGGTGGTGGTAATGGTGATGGTGGTGGTGGTGGTGGTGGGGGTGGTGGGGGGGCAGCACCACGTCCGCCCGGCCGCCTTTGTCTCCCCAGTTGCTGATGGTTGACACACTTCACCAGCTACTCATTTGAGGCTGAGTCAAACCAAGTGGAGGCGCAGGACCGATTCAAATGTTCACTGTCACTCTTGTTGGTGATGGTGGTGGGGGTGGTGGTGGTGTTGGTGGTGGTGTTGGTGGTGGTGATGGTGGTCGTGAGCGGGAATTGGAATCGGGGTCTCTGGCCGTGGTCGTAGGGCGGCGTGCTAACCGCTGCGCCACCGCTCCTCACGACGTGCTAACCACTGCGCCACCGCTCCTCACGGCGCGCTAACCGCTGCGCCACCGCTCCTCACGGCGCGCTAACTGCTGCGCCACCGCTCCTCACGGCGACCCCACACACAGAGGCACACCGACGCTGGGACACGTCTCGGCACAGCAGGCGACTCGATCATTCTTTGACGCGTCCTCTCCTCTCGATGCCTCCATTCATCCCGTTTCCGCGACGTGGTCATTGATAAAAAAAAACAACGCGAATTCCCATTCATAAAAACATATCCACGCGCGCGCGCCAGTAAGCAGCACCCATTGACAAACAGTACACAGACAAAGATCCCCCGTGTAGCCTCTTTGGGGCAAGTGTTGTCAGCAAGCACCTATGAAGGCCAAAGATCACGAGCCGTGCCGGCCTTCATAGGCGCTGCTACTCGCTAACTACTGGCTAACAGCGCCTGCTCCAACAATCAGTCCAGGCTACACGGGGGATCTTTGTGTTTTGTGTGTTGGGGGGGCGGTGGCGTAGCGGTTAGCGCGCTGCGCTACGAACCCGGCGAACCGAGTTCGATTCCCGCTCACGGCCAACCAACGCCAGTGACGATTATCTGAACCGATCCTGGGCCTCCTCTAGGTCAACTCAGCCTCAAATGAGTACTTGGTGCGATGTGTAAACGTCGCCACTGGGGAAACAAAGGCGGTCAGGCGTGGTGCTGGCCACCCACCCCCTCGTGTGCCGTACCGTCCTTCGTAGGTGCTACTCGCTAACAGCACTTGCCCCACCAATCTGTTCAGGCTACACGGGGGATCTTTGTCTTTATCTTTATGAACTTACCTTGAATTTCGCTCGCCGCGGTGAGTAGAGCGAACAGGGCGATAGACACCAGCTGGGGAGAGAGCACAACGCCGCGGGTTTCAGGTGCCAAGTTTGCCAGAGTGAAATGGTGAGTGAGATGGTGAGTGAGTGAAATGGTGAGTGAGTGAGTGGGATGGTGAGTGAGTGAAATGGTGAGTGAGTGAGTGGGATGGTGAGTGAGTGAATGAGATGGTGAGTGAGTGAGTGGGATGGTGCGTGAGTGAGTCATTGAGATGGTGAGTGAATGAGTGAGATGGTGTGTGAGTGAGTGAGATGGTGAGTGAGTAAGTGAATGAGTGAGATGGTGAGTGAGTGAATGAGTGAGATGGTGAATGAGTGAGTCAATGAGATGGTAAGTGAGTAAGTGAGTGAATGAGTGAGATGGTGTGTGAGTGAGTGGGATGGTGAGTGAGTGAGTCAATGATATGGTGTCTGAGTGAGATAGTGAGATAGTGAGTGAGTGAATGAGTGAGATGGTGAGTGAGTGAGTGAGTAAGATGGTGAGTGAGTAAGTGAATGAGTGAGATGGTGTGTGAGTGAGTGAGATGGTGAGTGAGTGAGATGATGAGTGGAATGGTGAGTGAGTGAGTGAGATGGTGAGTGAGATGGTGAGTGGAATGGTGATTGAGTGGGATGGTGATTAAGATGGTGAGTGGAATGGTGAGTGAGTGAGTGAGATGGTGAGTGGGATGATGAGTGAGTGATGGTCGGCGAATTAAATGGTGAGTGAGGGCATTGCGTTGTATGCAACTTGGTCGCAGAGACGTCCACACACATTCCCACTAAGTGTCACATCCATGCACACTGAGTGCCACATCCACACACACTGAGTGTCACAGACGTGCCCTTCACATACCTTGGCCATGCCCTTGCCTACAGACATTAGACCCGTGAGGGTGCCGCTGTTGATCGCCACCACCACCAGCACCACCACCACCAGCACCAGCAGCACCACCAGCACCACCAGCAGCAGCAGCAGCTACCGCATTTGTACGGATCCAGAGGCGGAGGAGGAGGCAAAAGGAGGGAGGAGGGAGGAACAGGAGGAGGAGCAGGAGGAGAAGGAGGTGTGAGAAAGAGGAGGAGGAGGAATGAACAGCAGGAGGAGTGAAGAGGGGAGTGAGCAGTGAGTTGGGATTCTCCGAGTTCGTTTCTCACGGTTCGATTCCCACCCCGCTCTTTCCCCTATTGCCTGCAACAGAATGTTGCCAGACGACAAACTACAGACGACGTGTTGTTACTTGACCCGGTGAAGC